AACGCTGTCTCCGGAGCTACTGGTCTGATCGGTGAGTCTCTGCCCCAGTGACCTGAGTAGCTGTACCTCTAGCTTCTTCTCCACAGCCAGTGCCTCTACCCCCATCCTCTCCTTCGTCCTGGCCAGGCTGATCATTGGCTTCATCAGCAAACAGTACGTCACTAGTCTTCTTCTCAACGAGCCTGATGGAACATTCCTCCTTCGCTTCAGCGACTCAGAGATTGGGGGCATCACCATTGCCCATGTCATCCGGGGCCAGGATGGTGAGGTCACCCCAAGCCAGTCCTCTGTCTCCGTACCTGTGCCCTTTGGGGTTTCTTCTGGAACGGAAATGTCTTGGCCTTCCTTGGTGCCAACCCTGGTCTTCAGGAAGTTCTTCCTTAGATCCAACTTCTCTCCTCCCTTCTGCAGTCTGCCTTCTCACTGTGAGGTCTGTGAGAATGGAGACTGGTGGGTTCTCTCTCCCTCAGGGCCCCCACCCTCATTCTTCTCCCCCTTGCCTTGGTAGATTAAGAATGAGTCCTCTGGTGGAGCTGGGTAGGGGAAAGAGTGTCTGGACAGAGAGGACTCAGGGTCTCATTCCTATTGTAGGCTCCCCACAGATAGAGAACATCCAGCCATTCTCTGCCAAAGACCTATCCATTCGTTCACTGGGGGACCGAATCCGGGACCTTGCTCAGCTCAAAAACCTCTACCCCAAGAAACCCAAGGATGAAGCTTTCCGGAGCCACTACAAGCGTGAGCTGAAGCTGGCAGTTCTGAATCCTTCCTTTGCCCATCTTTTCTGTACTCCCATTGCCCCTCTCCATGCACACTGTATGTCATCTCTGACTTACCTCTCCATTTTTGAAGCCCCATTTCTCCTACTTGCCCATCAACTATGCCCACCTTCCCCACATCCCTTTCTCTCCAATCCTGGGGCACTCCATGGTTCTCCTTTTCTTCCCCACAACAGCTGAACAGATGGGTAAGGATGGCAGGGGATACGTCCCAGCTACCATCAAGATGACTGTGGAAAGGTAAGTGTGGGGCTGTGGACGATAGCGGGGGCCCGGTACTACTTGCAGGAACAAGTGGTGGCATCAACTCTTGGTCAGTCACACATACCTCCTTCCCTCCTCTAGGGACCAGCCACTTCCTACCCTGGAGCCCCAAATGCCTACCATGGTGCCCACTTATGATCTTGGAATGGCCCCTGATTCCTCCATGAATATGCAGCTCAGCCCAGATATGGTGTAAGGAGCTTGAGAGACAGGAACGGGAGTGGTCTGTGCAGACAGGCGTTCAGCATGGGCAGCTGGGAAAGCTGGCATTGGGGGCCGAAGTAGGGAATTTTCCTTTCCATGAAAGGGATTCCCTATCTTGAGGGAGGGGCTAGGAGTGTCCGGGAGAAGGGCTGGCATCAGAAGGGTCTGCTTTCTTTCCCCAGGTCCCACGTGTACCCACCACACTCTCACTCCATCCCCTCATACCAAGCCCTCTCCCGGGAAGATGTGTTGCCAGCCTTCCAGGAGTAAGTGGAAGAACCTCTTGGGGTTGGGGCGAGTATATCCACCTGCAAGGGTGATGGGTATTTGCATTTGTTAGGAGAGGCTCCTCTGTGAGAAAGGGCAGCAAAAATCTAACACGCTGTCTTTTCTGTCCACTCCACTGAGGTATTAGCAGTTAAGATCCAGACTTAGCTAGGTTTGAATTCCAGCTCCACCATTTACTGACTTTGGGCAAGTTGCCTAGGTCTGGTGCCTCATCTCTAAAATAGGGAATACTGATAATAATACTAATGCTAATACTAATACTACCTTCCTCATAGGATTATTTTGAAGGTTGAGTTAGTAATACCTGTAAAGCTCATAGCAAGGGCTATGTTTAGTATTAATATTACCTCTCTTGTCCTTGAAGCCCACTGTCATTTATCTGCTGTCTTGATTTTTAGTTATTCATCTGTTGATGAAATGGCCTAGACATTTTTGCTCCCCAAGTAACACTCTTATTATAATAATTGCAGGTGATTATTAACTTTTTAAAAAAATTTTTTAACGTTTTTTATTTTCTTTTTGAGAGAGACAGAGACAGAGTGCGAACTGGGGAGGGGCAGAGAGAGAGGGAGACACAGAATCTGAAGCAGGCTCCAGGCTCTGAGCTGTCAGCACAGAGCCTGATGCGGGGCTCGAATCCATGAACCGTGAGATCATGACCTGAGCTGAAGTCGGCCACTTAACTGACTGAGGCACCCAGGCGCCCCTGGTGCTTATTAACTCTTAGTCAAGGCAGGACATCTCCCCTCCTGGGAGTTAAGGTAGGGTGGAGACTGGGGGTGTTAGAACCACCAGAGTCCAAAGAAACATTAGACATTAGCTAATTCAGTCCTTTCTCCTACCCCCACCCCAATACCCAACACATACACATTTTACAGAAGAGAAGACTGAGCTCACGGCTTACCTAAGACTATGCAGTCAGGAAAAGGGGCTGGAAATTGTTTCCTCATTCAGTGATCTTGACTTTGCAACACCATGTCCTTGCCTAGCCTTCCTTTCTCTGACTCTGCCCTCCTTCCTGTTTCTAGACCTCACCTGCAGATGCCCCCCAACCTGAGCCAGATGAACCTGTCCTTTGACCAACCTCACCCACAGTAAGTGGCAGCACTCCCTCCTGATCCCGTACTCTCCATTCATTTCCAGCCTTACCCACCCCCATCTTATTTACTTTTCTGGTCTTGACAGGGGCCTGCTCCCATGCCCGTCTCAGGAGCATGCCGTGTCCACCCCTGAGCCCCTGCTCTGCTCAGACGTGACCATGGCAGAAGAGAGCTGCCTGAGCCAGCCAATACGAGGGTTCCCTCAGGGCACCTGGTGAGTGGCAACCTGGGGGTGTTGGCTGGGTGGAGGTTAGAGGAGTGGGTGCCATACCTACCCTACTGTTTCTCTGCTTCCTCCTTGCAGGGTCGGTGAAGACATGTTCCCACCCTTGCTGCCTCCTACCGAACAGGACCTCACCAAGCTTCTCCTGGAGGGGCAAGGGGAATCAGGGGGAGGGTCCATGGGAACCCAGCCCCTCCTGCAGCCCTCTCACTATGGGCAGTCTGGGATCTCACTGTCCCACCTGGACCTACGGGCCAATCCTAGTTGGTGATCCCACCTGGAAGGGGAACCCAGAGAGACAGCTCTTCTACCCCCACGGACCTGCTCTGGACACCTGCCCATGCTCCTGCCAAGTAGCAGATGGGAAGGGTGTTCTCCTATCCCCACCTACTCCCTGGTCAGGAGGAAAAGACTGCCAGGAAAATGCACAGTGGGTGGAGCCTATCCACTCCTTCCCTCCTACCACACACCCCTGTCCTCCCCCTTCCAGTGCTGGAAGGGAAATTCAGGTTCCAAAGTGAGACACGCCCCAACACGCCTGCATACGCAGAACACACACACACAGCTCTCCCTGGAAGATGGGGCCGAGTAGGAAGGAGGCCGGTCAAGAGCACAGGTTAGGGCACGGATGACTTCTCTGCCCACCTCGAGCCAGGGCCCAGGACACCCGTGTAGAAATACGCAGACATGTGCACACCTTTGTATTAGAGTCTGGGGACTGAGGGATGGGCTTGGGTCCCAGCTCTGGGCAGGTGGAGAAGCAGTTCAGGAGATCCTAGCGGGGAGAAGGTGGGGGAATCTGTACACCTGGGTTACAGATGTGGGTTATGCTCAGATTAAAAAACAAATTTCAAACAGCCCCAAATTCCTCAGATGGAGGCTTTTGGCTACGTGTAGGAGATTGTGCACAAGAGGGCTGCGTTTCACATACAGCTGTGTGAAAGCGTGCGTACCTGAGACACGTTAATCCACGGATGTCACACACATTAGTTGTTGTGTCCACAAAGAACATGTATCTATCTGACCTTGCCTGTGTCACGACACAAGTTTGGAAGTTTGAGACACTGCACAAAAGACACCAGCAGATGTGCTGGCTTCTCTGATACATGCTAATCTGAATGTACTCAGCTTTAGTATGTCTGTGGCCCTAGTGGGTCTATGTGGCTGTGACATCTGTATGTGGCTCTAGCTTTGGTGGTTCAACATGGCCAATCCTGCCCAGAGGCAGGGGGTGAGTCTGGGACCCAGGCGTGTGGTCCTCTGAGCGTATTAGGGGGCCCTACCTGCTGCTTCTTTTCTATTTCCCCATCCACTGCCAGCCTCCCTTCACTCCCCCATTCCCATGCCACCCTTCCTCCCTCTTAGGGGCCATCGATCCTAAGCCATAAAATAAATTTTATTCCAAAATAACAAAATAAATAATCTACTGTACACGATCTGAAAAGAAAGACGCTCTAACTGCTCAGACAGGTGCTGCGGTCCAGCCCCCAGTTGAGGGAGACCCTGAGTCCAACCCAGGCCTCCTGAGGGGGCCGGTGAAGGGGACCCCACATCCACCCTCCCCCCCAACCCCCATGAGGGCAGGAAGGAAAAAGTTGCTGAGGACTTGGGGGAAAGATGGGGATGGGTGGGCAAACTGCAGCACTTGTTAAATTAAAGAAACAAACTAGAAGCACAAAAATGGGGGAGGAGAGGGGAGAAGGAGCAGGTCCAGTGTTCCCAGGCCCCCAGTTCTGGGGGGAAGCATTGCGATTTTTAGATGTTGGACCTTACCAGGGAATTCCCCCTTTCCCCCATGTCCAAACTGAATCCAACTGTTCATACCACTGGTTCAAGCTACAGAGAATGGGAGTGTGTTGTGTAAGGGAGGGGAGAACCCCAAATGCCCTGGAGGCAGAGTCCTTGCCCCCTTGCTCTAGGCAAGGGTGAAGGGGCACCACGCACCCTCCTTGTGTCCTCTTGCCAGGCCCCTGCTCGTTATTGCTTGAAGCCCCATAGTTCAATGTCCATGGAGCAGGTGGGGAGGCAGGAGAAGGGCAGCGGAAGGATCCAGGGTCGTGACTAGATGCCAGGGATGGAGAACATAGGAGTCTGTATGAGCCAGAAGTCTGAGTCCCAGGTCTGAAGACACCAGTGTGCCCCTCACTGCCGGCTGGCCTCAGCCTCCACTTTTACACTATTCCTGCGACCTTCCACCAGAGCGGGATGAGGTCCTGGGGCAGGGCATCGGTCCAGCAGCCCTTCCTCGAACTCTGCCGGGAGAAGAGGTAGGTTAGGAGGCTGTGGGGTGAACGATGCAGAGAGGTGGCTGGACGGAGACAGGAGTAGAGAAGACTGCAGAGGGGCTAGATTTGTTGAATTACTGCCTCCTGCCCGCCACACGTTTACAGGTGTGGGGTGGGTTCCACACCCAAGTGTGTGTGCCCCCCTCCCCTTTCTGGCCTTGTGTAGCTCTCTCTCTGTATGTGTCTCTCTCCTTCTCTGTCTCTCCCGCCTCCGTTCCGCTGGAATTTCTGGTTCTGTCAGGAGCTGTGGGGGTGGCTTGGCTCTGACCTCTCCCCCTCCCCCCCCCCCAGGCTCCGCTGCCCCCACTCCTCCCTGGCCCCCTCCCAGGCCCCACCTACCCTCCCATGCCCCTCAAGTTTTTTAGAAGCCAAATCAAGGGGAACACAGGAAGCCAGCCTCCCAGCTCCTCCCCCAAGAAGAGCCCCCCTTCAAGTCCCCGCCCCCACTTCCCACCCACGCACAGTTTAAAAATACCAAGCCAGGGTTGGTGGCTTTGTCTGCTGCATCACTCTCAGCCCAGCCGCTTGGCCCTCTGGCAGACTTCTCCCTTCCCCCAGCCACACACAAAGCATCCCCCTTTGGGCTCCTCTGCTTCCAAGCTGGGCAACCCCACCCTGACTCCTAGCCTGCTGTACCCTCCCACCTAGATGGCAGTTCTATCTCTGCTTCCCTTCTTGGTTCCTGTTCCCCTAGTCCCCCACTCTCTGTCCCTTTGTTCACCCCAGCTCCCCCTTCACAGATCTCCATTAGGGTCAGACCCTCCCCCGTGGGAACAGCCCTGCCAGATCCTCCCTTCCTCAACCCAAGGCCTGGTTGGCTAGAGCCCAACCATCCTACTGCCGGGCTCCCTCTGGCGACTACATCCCTCTTCCTCCCACCTGGCCCCAGGACACCAGGATTGCTGGGTGGGGCCTGGGTGGTAGGGGTGCTTGGGGACAGCACTGCTGCTGCCTCACCTGCGAGAGGCGGCTTCGCAGGCACACAGGGGCTGAGGCGGCCCACGCGGTCGTGGGAGACGAGGCGGGCTAGCCGCAGCCCCTCATCCATCAGTGTCTGCTGCAGGATGTGGCGGCTCCACAGCCCATGGGCTGGCAATGCCAGAGGCAGGTCAGCAGGGGGCGGCGTCAGCCTTGGGCATGACCCCACAGCTGTGGGCATGGGCATGGATCAGGTAAGGGACTACAGTCAACGGAACCCCCACCCTCAACCGCAGAGCAGACCCATAGGCCCAGGCCCCTTTGCCCCCATCCAGCCAGGCCTCCCAACCCTGTTCCAGGCAGTTGCCTCCTGGCTCCTTCCTCCCACCTACTCCACCCCCACAGCGAGGAGAAAAGTGTTCTGATGCACACTCACCCTGCAAGTGTCCATCCAGACTCTCCCCAGACAGGCTGGCGCTGTCTTCCTCCAGGCTGGGGCGGTATGGGGGTGCATAGGACTCAGGGCCTGGGGGAGGCTGCTGGAGTTCAGAATGACTTTGCTCTCCAACCTGCGGATGCCCCAAATGGGGAAATGAGGACCTAGCAAGAGAGGGGGCTGGGGGAGACTGCACTAACCCCCTACATCCACCCTGGAAAACCTACCTCCTGTTTTAACTTCTTCAGCGGAGGACCTCCTAATTCTTCAGGGTGAAGCCTGCAAAGACAAGAGAACTAAGGAGGGAGGGACACACGATGGGAAAACACAGAATCTGGTGAGAAGCATGCATTACTTTAAGACTCTAGAAAGATGCTGGCTGAGCAAGAGTCTCCAGCTCAGGTACTACTGTTGGCGGGGGATCAGAGAGGACCTGAGACGGATAGGAGGAGGAACCAGACTGCAGACAAGCGGACTTGGCGCAAAGCAGGACATGCGGGTGGACAGGAAGCAGGCCTACATGTACCTGAACTGGAGGTTAGGCCATGACCCAGCTCCTTGGCAGGATTCTAATTTAGAAAGAACCTGGGAGAAGGGAGTCTCACCTGGAGCCCTTCAAGGAAGACAGGTAGGTGCTCTCTCGGGCCACTTGGCGAGACAGAGAGAAGAGCTCCACCCTCCGCAGTAAGAGCGTGTTGTCCCTCATGCAAAACTGGGCAGCAGCCTCATTGATGGTCAGCTGTGGAGGGGGCCACCAAAGCGGTCAGAATCCTAACTCCTCACTGCCTTGCCCAGACTTCCTCACACCCCTACACCATCAGACAAATGAAGCCCATCCATTAGATGCCTGCTTAGGATTTGACACTATGCAGCTTTCTGAAGGAGGAAGACAGAGGTCAGCACCCACAGCTTCCTGGGAATACCTGGAGCCTCCTCCACCTGTGGGGTCCTGAGCAGTGTAGAGCAGGACACCTGGGCTCCTGCCTATATCTCTGCTTCCCCCTCAAATGGGGAGGAAAGCATTGCAGCGGCTGGGATTGGGGTGTATGGGGCCTGGGGTCTTGGTCAAGGGGCAATGAAACAGACCTGGGGAGTATGAAGATTCTCCAAAGTCAGTAGGTTTGAGGCCTGGGAGCCAAGTGCAACGCTAGGAGAATGGGGTCCTCACCTCATGCAGGCTGAGCTGCTTGCCCTCCCGCCGCTTGGAGTCAAAGCGGCCATAAATGATGCTGTATTTGCGGATCTCCTCCTCCTTCTGGCTGTCATTATCGTCCATCTCAAAAATGTGCCCCACGCTCCGTGCCAGCTTCTTGTTCAGCTTCAGCAGGGACGTTACCTCCCCAGCATCTCCCCTTGGGAAGCTCCGGAAGATCCTCTCCACGCTCTCCACCACCATGCGTACCATTTCTGGCTCCAGTCGATCCGGACCACCCCCAGCTCCAGCTGCTGCCAGCCCCCCAGCCCCAGTCCCCTCAGGGACTCCTCCCGCTGCAGGTGGGGAGAAGGGGGGTGATCCTGCCTCCTCTTCTCCTCCCGCCCCAACGTCAGACTCTGGAGTGCTCCGTCCTGGCCAGATCCGGGGGTCCCCTGCCCCAGGTCCCCCAGGCAGTGGTGACAGCTTCTCTCCAAGTTCAAGGGGGCTCTTGGGGCTAAAACTGCGGGTACTGCCTGCCTTTTCCCCTGGGCTGCTGTGCCCATTGCTCATGCTCCCTTTCCGGGTGCCTGCAGTCTCGGAGATCTTGAAAAGTGGAATACTGGAGACAGGCACAGCAGGCACAGGCTGGCTGAAGAGCCCTGGATTGGTGGCCCATTCTCTCAGTGCCTTCTGCAGGCGCCGGACATGGAGGGGCTTGGTGGCCATGCCCACAAGTGCCATGATCTCCAGGAACTCCTCCTCACCGGCCTCACACAGTTGCTGCACGTCGTCCCCTCCCTGCTGGATGAAGGTCTCATAGTAGGAAAGGAGATTGGCGCGCTGTAGGACCCGGTACAGCTGCAGCTCCCCCAGTGTCCGAGGCAGTGCCATGGCTCGGGCACCGGGCCTGGGAAGGAGGAGCGCAGTAGAGAGAAAGGAAGGCAGTCAGTACAAGTGCCCCTGCTGGGTACCAGCCCACACTCGCAATTGTCCTCTCTTTCCTGCCTGCTTCTCTTCCCCTCCTCTGAAGGCACCCTCTGCCCAGTACCCAAGCCTGCGCACAGACTATGAGAATCAGGCATTACCCAGAGGCATAAACATGCCAGTGCCATCCCAGCCTGGCCACAAATACCAAAAGCCAGCCCAGTATCTGCTGAAGTCAAACGCTCTTCACCACCATTCTCAGCTTTTACTTTTCCGGACTGGGGCAAGGAGACCTTGAGCACTGAGGCCAGCCAGCACACCCCTACCATGGCTGGACCTCCTCACCCAGGACAGTCTTCACCCTCCACCCTACACACCCAGCAGTCTCAGCATTATTCAAGGTGACTTTCCACACTGAGGTGAATGTAAGACCCCCTGTCCTGCCCACAGTGGACACTTGGGACCACTGCTAGCCAGTTTCACTCCCTGGTGGCATCCTATCCAGGTGGCTGAGAGGGAGGGGTGTGGTCCTTTCCCACTCAGCAAGCCAGGTGGACCCGTGCTCTGCTCAGCTCCCCTGAGCTGTTCCCAAGGGCCTCCCCTCTCCTCGAGGACCTCCCCTCTCTTCCTGACTGTCCAGTGCCCCTTAGTTGGCTCCTCTCCCGGCAGTGACCTTCCCCACCTGCTGAGTAGGTAGGCCAGTCCCTCCAGCTCAAGCAGAAGGAGGAAGGAGTGCCTCAATTGTTCTGCTCTGGGGCCCGTTCCACCCACACACACTCCCACAGTAGCAGCGTCAGTGGGCGAAAACCGCCCCAGGGGCTCCCGCCTACCCTCCTCTCCCTCATTTTCCACCCACACCTCTAAGTGGAGCGGAGGCGCGGCTCAAGGCCCCTTGAGGGAGGGGCTGCACACCGAAACTCCCCTCCGCCGCGTGCTGCAAATAAAGCTACAGAAAGGAGAGGGACGCCTAAGGCTTGCCCTGCTTTTCCACAGCCCTGCTGATGCGCTTCCTTGGCTTGAAGGCGCCGGCTTCTCCCGGACCCTGGGGCCCGCGTACTCCTTACCAACGTTAGATAGAACCAGGGCAGCGGCCCTCCCCAGCCCTGTTACCAGCCAGAGTCCAGGGCTTCCCCTGGTTCTTGGGGGGACCCCATATTCTTTGCAGGGGGCTCACATGCCGGGTAACGCCGGCAGAGTAAACGGGGGATAGAGAATTAGGTCCTACTCTTTCATATCCAGCTTCATCCGCTCCCTACCTGCTCCCAGGGCCCCCTAATTCGAAGACGCACCCCCTTTTCCATCAGTCTCCACCCCCCACCCCCGTCCCGCTTCCCCTCGTTCTCTCCTCGACCTCCGCCCTCCGGACCCCTTTCCCGAGTCCAGCTCCACCCATCTCCACTCCCCGCCGCTTCCCTCTGCCCACTAACTTGGGTCTGGGCTGCGGGGTCCGGCGGGCGCAGTCTCCTCCGCCCGGCGGCTGCTCGGCTGTGGGGGAGGGCGCTCTGTGCATGGACGGCCAGAGGCCACAGGGGCTGCCCCTCTCGGTGCCCAGCCCTCGGCGCCTGGCGGGCGCTGCCGTGTCCGCCGCTGTCCGGGCTCCGTCCCTCCCTCCACGTCTCCTCTCTCCAAGCCTCCGCGCCTCTGTCTGTGCCTCTGCCCCCCCCTCCCCGGCTGCGCTTGCCGCCTCTCCGCGCCGCCGCCCCCGCAGGACGCACGGGGAGCGAGGCCCGGCGCAGCGCTGGCTGCCGGGCGGGCGGAGGGCGTGGGCAGCGCCGGGGGCGGGGGCCGGGGGCGGGGGGCGGGCGCCCGGGCCTCCGGGCCGACGGTGGAGACGCCGCGGCTGAGCGACGGAGAGAGGCGGAGACTGGGGGGGAGGGGGCGTGGAGCAGGCGGCGGGGGCGGGGACTC